CCAAAATTGCTCTAAAGGACTTATGAGGATTGTGTCGCTCCTGCCCACCATCTCTTAACACATCAAATCTTCTTACAGCTTTACATATATATACAAAGTTATGACCGTGTTTGCTATCAGCTGTTAATCAAATATTAATTCAATTAGAGATAACAAAATTACTCTTACTTATAAACTGTAATAAATATAATTGTGTTACGGCCTATGCGAACCTCTAATAAGTGAACCAACGCCCTATGCAAACCTTGGACATGCGAAGCGTACCCGCGACTGACCACCAGCAAACACATGTCAATCACATATGATCCCCGCAAGCACACCTTGCGTTAACGTGGTCCCATTTTATGACAAACTCATCTAAGTAATCACTTCCTTAGACGTCTCTTCTTCACCAAAAAATTCAGACCAGAACTACTAGAATCATCACCACCACTACTATTCTACCACCTTATATGGTTGTTGTCTACTTTACCAGTCAACAAATTGTAAAGATATTATTTTTAATTTTTTTTACAAATCTTTTAAACCCTTAGAACCCTATAGCTCAAAGGTAAGAGCTTGATCTATTAGATAATATAACAAAGATATTTCATTTTCATTAACCAGTAGATAATAATATAGTAATTATTGAAAATCTAATAAATAGTAATTTTATCATTAACTATATCACTTTACCTGCTATAATTTATAATAGGCCTCTTCAGTATAAATAATTATTGAATAAAATTATAACAGGTAAAGTAACATTGTGTTTGGAGGGATTTGCAGGTCAAGTACTTATGAGTTAGATATTTGATTTGTAAAGATGTTTTTTTATTGTGCAATTATGTATATTTATCCTTATCCTTCCCTATAATATAACCCAATGCATGAATAACAAAGATCTGCGGTGAAAAGAAGGGAAACAAATGGCGATATCTGACAGGTACGGATGCTCTATGGAATTCCAGTTGATTATAAAGCTCAACAGGAAAATATATATATACAGAAGCAAAATGAGAACTTCTTTTGAGTAGAACATGCTTGAATTGTGGGAACAGATTTTCATTAAGGCTATGTTTTTTGTAGTATATAAATAATAGTACTATGGGATGCATGTTATATGTTTAACTGCATGTATACATGTCATCAATGATTGATGATATACATTAATGCACATCAGTTGGTTGATTAAATAACAGATTGAAAAATGAGAATCCATTTTCTTTCACAATCTAAGGAAAAGCTATTGCCTTATAATGATCATGAACTTTTTTTATTGGGATTATACATAGCTAAAAGGAAGCTTTTATGGAAAACCAAAAAGGAGGTAAAAAAGTTTGCCCATCAGCTGTGTTACAATATGATGAACATTAAACAAAACTGTTTTTTTTTTCTTCCTGCAAATCTAACTTGGAAGTGTTTGATGCAATTTTACTTCGAGATTCTTTCTTGTCTGAAAGATCTGAGGGTTGATATCATGAGGCAAAGCATGTTTTGGAATTTGCATGCAAGATTCACTATCTTCAGATGTCATCATGAATTGTTTTTGGAGCCATCTGACTTTGTATTTTATTAAATCCCTTCTTCTAGTCTTGGAATCATTTAGGTAATAATCAACAGTCGTCTGTGTTTATAAATCAACACTTTCATGTGTGTTTATAAGTTTTAACCAACTCAAGAAACTATGTGTGAAAAGCAAGGTTAAGGGTAGTGTTGTAAGTGGACTGCAGTAACATACACATGAATTTATGTTAGGGGTCACACTTATAAAATTTTAAATAACAAAAATAATATAAAATATAAGAAAATATCTAAAATATATGATAATTTCTCACTCACTATCCATCCCTATCACATCATGTCTATGGTTCACTGCATATATAGAGAACTTCCCCTGGGAAAATAATAATAACTATGCATGGCAAAATCACAAAAACATCTATCCCATTTTTATGTTTCTCCCTCTCTCGCTTCTTACCTTGTCTTCTTCCTTATTTCTTTCGAATTTATAGCGTGAAGTGTTGCGGGGAATGTTGTCTGGTCCAAAGTCATTCATATGAATCTTGAATGTGTTTTGAATGATTTCGGACCAGGCTTCATTCCCCTCAACTTGGTGCAATGAGAAAGAAGGTTTGGAGTTGGACATCCTGGAACTAGAACAGGTAAAACTAGAGGTAGAGTTTCCAAAATCCTGGTTTTCTGTATGCAATCACTTTAGCTTTTACGTATGGGAGAAAGAGATTAAATGTGAAACTTTAAATTTCTTCCCTTATGGTTTCATCATAACTTGTTATTTATTCTGTTATTAATTCATGGCGACTCAAATCCATAATGAAAAAAGAAACCATAAATTTTTCCATGTAAAGCTCATAATTTTATGGTGGGTCAGATCTGCAGAACATTGTAGCCCCATAGCTGCAATTTGTAAAAGGTTCATCATCTTCGTGAGCTGATTGAAAAGAACATGCAGAAGCAGTCCTTGAAGTTCGTAAGAAAATGAGATGAAGACATAAATATGGGATGTTTTCCAAGGTTTTAGATTCTGATGTTAAAAAATAGGGTTGAGAAAACCAAAGTACTTCCTTTGTAGGATTTGATATGACAGTTTTTCCATGCCACAACGGAACGCAACTTCGCCATAACATGTCATCATGCATAAAGAGTATATAGTTAGTTAAAACAATGAAAATGGATATACTTAGCCCTTGAGAGAAACGATTAATGAAGGAAGAGACATCATGATTCATATAGGTCCATTCTGGTGTATCGCAAGAGGACAGTTTGTCATATATGTTGTTGGACATGCCCTCTCTCTATTTATTTATATTTACTTCTTTTTGCATAAATATATTGTTTTACCTCCTCCGCAAATCATCTCTCTGGTTAATCTTTCATTTATCAAAACTTTCGAAGTTTTCAGAAACCTTCAAATTTTATATCCTCTAAAAAATTACAGTCTCTCAATATAACTATTGACAGTCCCACGTGATATACCAATTGAACCTACCATCTGACAGCTAGATGTATTCACCATGTCGATCTACAAGTAATCATCATTCGTCTAAGTCTAACACCAACACTGAGGATGATGGATCAATATATAAATCATCATACAAAGTTGAAAAGATTTTCTCTCTCTCAACTTTTCATCGTTCATCACCTTCTTAAATTTGTTTATTTTTCATCTCCTTCACAGAGTTACTGGTAACAACTCTATGCTCAAACTAGAAGGAATAAACCGACACGAACTACATGTATGTACATGGTTATCATATTGTTAGAGTTAAGATCCTATTGAGGATTTTGTCCATGTCTCAATCTCTTTTTGTAGCCTAATCCCATTCAAATCTGGGAGAATAGTTGTCGCCCTTTTTACCATTTCAGTGAATTAAGAAGAATGTACCAACAACCAAGACAAAGCGCTATCATCGAAGTTTTACGGCATTTTGGTATGGTATCGAATAAAGTTTCATTACAACATTCCAAATTTCCTGCAATTTTCTCGACAAGAGTTGTGCTGCCCTCCATGTGATTTCTTTTCCCTACCATCGTCACTTATAATTATTAAATTATATTATATAATATATAAAAAATAATTACTATCATAAAAATTTATTTTATATTAAAATAATTTAATACAATTAAAATTAATTTTTATTTTGTTTGATTAATCTAGGGTAAGTATAAGATAATATCTATACAAAGATAACTCTAAACCTTTTAACATTGATCACTCGTACCCTTGACATTCCTAGTGCTCAAACCAAGGACCTCAAAAAACAACAATAATTCCTTTACCACCAAAGTCATTGGTTTCGTACAATAAGATTAAAATTTATATGAATAATATATGGGTTTGACATGATAGATTATGTGTTTTAAATTTATATCAGATTTATTCTTATTCTAACAAGAAATATCAATATCTCATTATGTTAATTCATTGAGAATGAAATAACTTTCTATTAGTTTTGGATTAACTAGTTTACATAATTTTATAATTTTAATTTTCTGATTTAATATTTCGATTGAAGGTTGATGTTAAAATTTTAAATTTTAATATTTTTATAGATTCATGATATAGGTCGTATGTAATTTGTATTGAAAAAATATGCTATAAAGTCGAATAATCAATCCTATACGATTGTTCGATGTAGAAAAATTTAATGTTGTTTCTTATTTATGACCACTACGATAGTTCAGATCATGTTCATTATAAAGAGAAGAACAATACGTGAATTATTGCATTAATATATTAATTACAAGTTAATATTTTACCCAAAGATTCGATGTTAATAAAGTAATTTTCGTAGCGAGAGCACTCTGATAAATATATGATTTTTTTAAAATATCATACTTAACATTTAGTTTAAGTTTCATTTTGATTATATATCGTTAAAAAATTAATTGTGATATTGACTTGATCATCATAAAATAATATCATGTCACTATTAAAAAATAAAAAAAATATCACGTCTGCAATTGATTTATTTTTTAACGATTAGTGACTAAAGTGAAATTAAAACATAACGTTAATCATGGTTTTGAAAAAAATTAGGTGACCAAAACGGAATAAAAGTGATAATTAGGATTGTAAATTTATAGTTTACATTTTTTCTTGAACTTCGTAAATGGCAACGAAGGAAGAGGGATTGCAATGTGTTGGCCATGTTGGTCGGTGTACAAAACTCACATGGCTTGTTCCAGAACCTCACTAAGATCTTCACATGAATAATTCTTCACGTGAGACCCAAACAAACAACAAAATTGAAATGGATTTGTTCAGCAAAATGTTCTTTGAAACTCAAAGCCCACCTTCCAACACTCCCTTCTGTCTGTCTTTTCATTCCCAGCCGTGTACGTGCAAAATCACGTTAGAGGAAACTTTAAACCTATTTAACCAAATCTTTGCTAGTGAGACAATTTCTCATACATTTTTGGTTTGGTTCCAACAATATTTCACGTGTGCACTACTTAAGCAGAGCATTGATGGCATCTTTCCACCATTAATTGCAATCAAATATGAAATAGTTCTTACAATTTAAAACCCCCAATTCTACAATTTTCTTTTGGTCCTGCCCAAGAAAGAGAAAAAGGAAAAAAGGGACCAACCCATGCTCGAACCAAGCAAAATATGTACAGGAGCAAATCAAGGAAACCGCTGGAAGTGATCTTCCCCAGAGTGTACTACGTCGTCGTCGATTGCAATGGTAACCTTGGGTGGTTGTGCTCACCTTCATAGGTAACATTAAGCATGGATGGCTCTTCCAAGCACCTCTCCACATGCTTCCTTGCAGGGCAACCTCTCATACTGCTACATTTATAATATCCCCTGCACCAGTTGAGAAGAAAAAGCCTCCTAAGTCGATCATTTAGACGAATTTAACTAATTATAAATCAAAAGTAAGAAGCTTGCTATGAAACACTTTAAACATGCAACTAGAACTTAACAAATCAACTTGACCCTGCTTGAATCTCCCTTCATTATCTAAGTTTTAACTCCACCATGAATTGAAATTCTTCAACGCTTGAAAGTTTCCCCTTTAATATATTCAAGACTAAGGTAATCACTATTCACTCAATGCAGTAAGCATAGATCTTAACAAATCGAAACATTATTGACCTTGATACACATGATATGCTCATTGTTTTGTAACAATGAACCTTAAAAAGCCCTTTGTTTACCCACTAAGATCACTGAGTTCTATTCCTAGTCTGTTTCATTCCAATAGTTCCTATATGCAACCTATATTTGTAATGCTACAAGCAAAACAGAACAGGGAAACACCAAAATTCAAATAAGAATACATCTAATCTTAGTCTGATGGTTGATCATTACCTAGGGTGAGGAGAACCCTTGATTGGCTTCTGCCCATACTTCCTCCATGAATAATCATCTGGAGGAATATCAGCAAGCTTGTTACTGATTGCAGGCACCTTGATTGACCTCTTTACTCTATGTTTCCTGCCAAAAGAAGGATCAAAGCAATTATGATCATTAATATCGAAAGCAAGATCCTATAGAGATGCTAAAGAGGGCAAAAGATAAAAATCGAACCTCTTCTTCGAGCAGTGGCATTTACCACCGCTCCCACATTTGACAGTCCCATCTTCTCCCCTAGCAGAACACTTCCTCTTGTGTTGGGAACCCTGATCGGCAGACCGAGAACCCCCGATGAAATGGAAGGCACCTCCACCATCCAAGTTGGCAACACTACCATCTATGCTCAAGGAAGAAATTAAAGACCTAGTCGATGAAATGGTAGGTGTAACACTAGAGCTATCAAAAGTCAAGCTAATGCCACTATTATTCCTAAAAATCAGTTCAGCTTGATGTTTCATTTGCTGCTGTTGGAGCTGTAACCTCTGTCGAAGCTGCTGCTGCTGTTGGAGGGCATGGTAGTTCCCTGAAGAAGTCAGTTGGGCTAGTTGGTGATGGTTTTTCGCATTGGAGCTCAATTCCGAAGACGGGGTTCCTAAATAAAGAGAAATTTTGGCATGTGAACTCAATTCTTGAGCTGAGCTTTCATGGTGAACGAGCTGCAAAGCCTTGGATGGATTATCCAAAAGGATGCTCTGTGGAAGAGGGGCTTGTAATTTCCTTTGCTTCCTCACTCTTGCATGTCCCAAACCAGTGTTCAAAAGAGAAACCACTCTTTTGAACCTAAAAACAGTCTCCCCAGTTTCAGCCATTAAATTTCTGTAGTGAATCTGATCTTTTGGCTGAGACAAAATACTCAAAACCCTGTGGCAGCTCTCTACTGCTGCCTTGCTAGCTTCCTCAACTTCCTCCATTTTACCCCCCAAAACCAAGAACAAACCACTAATTCTCCAACCTAAATATCAACTAACTAAAGAGAACTAGATTTTTAGAGGAAAATAAGAAACACCCATCAATCAAAATTCAATTTTGAGGTCACCCAAAGACATAACAAGGACTTTCTTTCAACAGAATTTCAACCAAATTTAGCTTAAAGGGTAAACTATTTTCCTTTTTTTCTAAAACATAGAAGGCCAACAAGAACAGATTCAACAAGGCTGTGAAAACTTAAAAATGAAACAAATAGCTCTCTCATTAGGATAAAAACTAAGGGGGAAAGAAAAAAGCAGAGACCTTGTCAGACTTGGTGTTGTCAAACCCTAGATTCTGCCTCCCATGTTCTTTTCAGATTGAAACTTGCAAAGTGTGAAAGAGAAGACTTTGTTTTCGGCTATGGGGGAGAATTCACAAAACAACAGAACAAAGTTCCCATCTTTTTTTATCCCCTTCCACTATACAAATTAATAAACATATAAAAAAAATGAAATTCTAGATAGAGAAATTCAATGAAGAAAAGAAATTCAACAGAGAGAGAATAAATAATAATAAGATATGTAAATAAATTAATAAAAGGGAGTGTTTGAAGAAATGAAACTCTGCCGTCTCTGTCACTGATTTGAACGTGGGTCCCATGCAAAGACTTTGGTTTATTCTTTTTCTTCTGCCATTGCTACCTTTAATTAGTGCCATTTTTTTTCTAATGAAGTACTATTTTTTTCTTATAAGATTGGTACTTCTTGCATAACCAGACGTGCTTTGATGTTTCCTGGTCAGTGCCTTCTTAGTTCTTTGGATTTGAACTGTAGATTTACGGGGACTGTCTAACAAAAGTCATATTAATATAAAGTTAAAAAAATAGTACAATCACAAATTTGAAAAGAACTTTAACAAAATATGTTTAGTGCGACAGAAAATATTGACTCATACTTACTATATTAAATACAATAGAATAACAAATAAATTTATATTACCGGTAAGTATCGATATTTTTTTATAAGTATAAATAATTTAAAATTTAAAAAATATAAAAAAATAAGAAAGTTGTAAAGTGTCAATACTTTTTCACATAGTTTCAAATTAAAAAAAAACCTTAGAAAATGATAAGACTGCAAAGTATCGAACTTTATTTTTAAATAAATATCGATACTATGATATGATGGTTGATACTTTAACATTTGATGAATGATAAAATATCGATATTTTTTTTCTAATTATGTTTGATACTTGAACATTTGAGAAAATTGATGGAAATTAAAATATCGATACTTGTTTATTTGAAAAAATTGTTCAAGTTAAAATTGAAAGTTATTTAAAAAATTTCATTAAAACATCGCTATAAAAATATCGATAATGTAATAATAATTACAACTTAACCGATTAAAATAAAATAGACGCAACCTATTATGTTAAGCTAGCTACCGGTTTATTTAAAGATATAATAATAATGTAAACGGTAAAATATTTACAACTTAACCAATTAAAATAAAATATGTGCAACTTATTACGTTAAATTAGTTACTGATTTATTTATAGGCATAATGATAATGTAAACAGTAAAATAAAATAGTCGTAACATATTACGTTAAATTAGTTATCCGTTTGTTTAAAGATATAATAATAATGTAAACGGTAAAATAAAATATGCGCTACCTATTACGTTAAACTAGCTACCGGTTTTGTAACACCCTCAACCCAAACCCGACCCGAATACGAGTCCGAGATGTCACATTAACTTTTTAAAATAATATTCTTACAAAATAACAAAACATTTCAACTTATATTAAGAAAATATAATAAAATAATAATAAATTATGTTTCATTATAACATTTAAGGCAAAACGTTTTTATGAACATTAATATATGATATGAACAGTACTGCTACAATAACTTTCGTAAAACGTACATAAAACTCGTAAAAAGTTAAACGTTCATTACTATACATTTACCATTTACATAAATATGTTTAAAATATTCCAAAACTTTATCAGAGCACACATACTTAATTTAAAGACTTTGTTTACATGCCAAGCTATTTATCACATAATAATACATACTATTTAAGGTTCTTCTGATCTGGTAGTTGTAGAAGTAATGTTGTCTCAGTTGTCTAACCTTGCTTGTCTATCTTCTCTGATCCTACGTGTGAAACACTCACACGCTAAGTCATCGACTTATTGAGGAATAATAATAATGGTAATAAAATATAATAAAAATGTCATAATGAAATGCAATATCATGAAATCATATATTCAATCCATGCAAATTGCATAATCATGTATCTTACCCATAATTTGATCAAATTAACCATCATGAATTCATATAATATGTTCAATAACCCATGATACAATACTGAGAACCTGAGGTATGTGAGTATTGGATTACACACAACAATACAGAGTGTTTATTGATTACATAACTATTCACATACATCTCGTTTATATACAACAAAAGTATTCAAGAAGCTAATTCTAGCAGATGTTGTTAATCCTAACAAACCATAACCGATTCATAACAGCTCAGCACTTAAGCACAACAACTAACCGATTCATAACAGCTCATCACCTAAGCACAGTAACTAACACTAACAGCTCAGCAACATTGCCTTCTACAAGGCGCAGACTCCATGTGCTATAAGCAGCTACCTCTAATATTCTCCCTACTTCTTTCCTTCTGTTGTTTAACATTGCTGCACACAAATTTTAGTTCTGAACTCTTCAAACATTGCCTTAGACAAAGGCTTTGTGAAACCATCAGCTATCTGGTGCATAGCAGGCACGTAGTTAGCACAAAGTTGGCCAGCTGTCACATTTTCTCGTACAAAGTGTATGTCGAGTTCAACGTGCTTCGATTGAGCATGGCACATCGGATTCGCGCTCATGGCCACTATGCTTGTGTTATCGCACCAGATAATGGGCATACAATTTTGCTGAACACCAAGAACATCCAAAAGTGCAGTAAGCCACGTTACATATGCAGCGGCATCTGCAACACTCTTATATTCAGCTTCCATAGTGGATCGAGAGACAATTTTTTGTTTCTTTGACAACCATGTAATTAAACATGGCCCTAAAAACACCCCATACCCTGAAATAGATCGGCGATCATCAATATTGGAGCCCCAATTTGCATCAGCATAAGCAACCACATCCAAACTGGCCGCATAGAAAGGAGAACAAACAAGCCAAAATCCAAGGTAGCATCCAAGTATCTAAGTATATGTTTAACTGCTATAAAATACGAATCTCTGGGAGAGTTCATGAACTTAACAACCTGTCCAACGCTGAAAGAGATGTCAGGTCTCGTATGACACACATAAAGCAGCGAGCAAACGATACTGCGATATTCAGTTGCATTGCGAATCACCTCACCCTCCTCACGTGAAAGCTTAGAGGATATAACCATTGGCGTACTTCAGCCAGCAACATTTACCATACCAGTTCTCTCTAAGAGCTCCTTAACAAATTTCTTCTGATCCAAGATAACATCCTCACCAGAGCGTTTTACCTCTATACCCAAGAAGTATTTTAACTCCCCTAGGTCTTTCAGCGAGAACCTACCCTTGAGCATAGTAACGACATCTTCTACATCAAGTAACGAATTACCTGTAATAACAATATCATCTACATACACAAGTATGTAGATGACTCCTTGAGGCGAACTCTTGTGAAATAAAGAGGGGTCAGCACGAGGTCAGCACGAGAAACCATAAAATTCATTTGAAGTAGATTTTGTTTCAACTTCACATGCCAGTTCCTGGGTGTCTGTCGAAGTCCATATAACGTCTTCTGAAGTTTGCACACAAACGGCTTACCAAGCTTATTTACTTCCTCAAATCCTGGAGGTTGCTGCATGTAAACATCTTTGAGCAAATCTCAATTGAGAAAGGCATTATTAATGTCCACATGCCTGATAGTCCAACCATTGTTGAATGCAATGGAAAAGATTGCATTAAAGGTTGAGAATCGAATAATAGGGCTAAATGTTTCTTTGAAATCATAACCAAGTATTTGTGAGAATCCCTTGTGTAACACCCCCAACCCGTATCCGACCCGGATACGAGTCTGAAGTGTCACATTGACTTTTCAAACATTTATTCGTATAAAATAGTGAGTAATTTAAAAACTTTTATAACATTTAACTTATTCAAAACGTTCACAAAATTTATCAGAGTTCATACAATTTATATCTTGAGACTACATGCCAACTACACTCTATATACAACACATATATTTTCTGATCTGACATTTGGTAAGGAGAACTGACCTGTCTTGCTCCGCATTACTCTTTACTCTTCTCGAAACCTACGTGTGAAACAATCACACGCTAAGTCGTTGACTTAGTGAGGCATGTAAAACATATAATATTTCATATAACATAAATCATACATAAACATATACCGTCATTATCATTAAGAAACACACATAACATCATATGGTTCATATAACACCTTTCAAACCACTTACCTTTGATAACCATTTATAAACCCATCGTATACATATCACATTCAGTATGTTTGTTTGATCTCTTTATTAGCCCATGTACACTATTAAGAACTTAAGGTATGTGAGTACATTGAGGTTGTGCACCAATGCTGTCACCACAGCTCGTATCAATTCCCTCATGGGGCACCGAACCTTAGTTCAGTATTCGTCCCGAATGACCAGTCCATAGATTCTGAAGAACCTAGGTAAACAGTCCATATGTCCCGAAGAACATAGGTAAACAGTCCATATGTCCCGAAGAACATAGGTAAGCAGTCTATATGTCCCGAAGAACATAGGTAAACAGTCCATATGTCCCGAAGAACATAGGTAAACCCTCGACCCTTGGCATGCCAACTATACCACTAGCTCTCTTATCACATAACATGGGCATTAACATTCATAACAGTTCAATTTACTTATTCATATCCTTTCTCTTATGAACATATATCTTTTCTTTTCAGTCACGTACCAAATGTACGTGTAATCATTGATCTTATAATCACATGTTCATTCTCTTCGGTCACATACCATATGTATGTGTAAACATATATCTAATATCATATAGCATGCATCACAAATGCATGTATTCACATAAATCATTTCTTATAGCTTTATTCATATCCCATATTCATATAAGCTCATATCTTATTTCACATATACTTTCCATATAACTTATATATCTCATAATCACACAAATCATAACATTGATCACCAATCAAATAACATTTTAGGAGTTACTTCTTACCATAGTAACTCCATCACTGACTCATCGCAAGCCAAATGTTTATTCAATACTATAAGTACAAATAAAATTGCACTCACCTTAGCTTTGCTTTGATTCGATTCTAATCCTTAAGTTGATTCAGAACGAGATCACATTCTATATCTACATAATCATACATAGATCTATATTAGTATTATAACTAATATACTCTAATGGTTCACTATTTAGATTAAGATAAATGTCAATTTCTTCTTTCAATAAGGGTATGCATCGATGCACTACTGATACATTGGTGCATAAAATACATTC